AAAAAAAAAAAAAAAAAAGCAAAATTTGGATCATATTTTGTTGCTGTTGCCACTGCTATTTGCTGTTGCTATTTGTCATTTTGCCATTAATTGTTGGTACTGCTGCTGCTGTTGAACATTATTATTGTTATTATTTTACTAAACCAACAAACCACCTTTTTTTTCGTTTCACAAGTCTCAGACGGTATAATTTGCCAAACGCCATATACAGTTTATCAACAACAATGTTTTGGTGCTACTACTGTATTATTATTCTGGAAAACGTTTTACAGCAACTGATTCACAGAATGGGTTCAGTATCGTCATTTTTACATTCAAAAACACCAAAAGAGGTGATCTCTAGCCGTCAAGTACAGACCAAATATGGTGTTGTACAAGGACGACGAATTGTTGACGAAATGGATTTACAAGTTGATGCTTTTTTGGGTATACCGTTTGCCAGACCGCCGACTGGTGAACGCAGATTCAAGGTACTAACTTAAGTTGCTTTTTTTCGTGTTTTTTATATATTTGATTAATTTTTTAATTTTTTTTTTTGCGTTTTTTTAAACTTTAAATAAGAAAGAACAAAGCTTTTTAACCTATTTATCGCTCAAATCAGTCACTCAAAATTTCATCGTACTTTTACTGTAGTCACCATAGAACAGAAAACCTGTTTACAACTGTACTTCCGGCATTTCAACTTTGCTGCATATGAAGTTTATAGTGGCAGTTTACAGGGGAAGAAAAAATAAAACCAGACTGAATCTATTAATAACCGTTTTTTATTCGTTATGTCAAGTGGTGAAAACAAACAATTTGCATGCGAAGTTCTAATGTGAATAGAAATAACTTTTTTTCCATTTTTCTGCAGAGGCCAGAACCACCGGAACCCTGGCAAGGTGTTTTGGAGGCAACAAAATTTGGGCCTCGTGCACCACAGGTTGATTTCTTTTGGGAACGATGGAGTTTGGGTGTTGGGAAGTCTGAAGATTGTCTACGGTTAAATGTATTTTCGCCAGCTTGGGAACCAGGCGAAGACCAAGTTAGTATTTTGCAGAGGCTTAGCTGAATAAGTTTCTCACTTTATTTGCACTG